TGTAGGTTTGTGCTTAATTCCAAACAAACAAACAATATAAACGCATAGTCATAAATAGGACTGTTTTCATCTGAATCTAAACATTCAAACTGTAAATATTCAACCCGTGCAACGATCAAACTAAAAAGAATACAATATTTACAAAGGAGAATGTCTTTTGTTGCCATTATGACTTTTTCAACTCGTATTTTTTTTTCAATCTCTCATATCTATATACCCCTGTATTTATTCTTTAGTACTCTAACTTTTACATTTCACTTTTTACTTATTATACTCTATATGAAAATGTAACGTTTTTTAAATATACAAATCTTAAGTATGTAACACTAACCATTTTGTGGATAACAATATTCTAAATGTGCGACTTTCTGTATTTAAATTCTAGTCAGAAATGTAATACTTTTGAAAGCAGTTTTTCTTAAAATATGAGTTAATCTATCCCTTTAACTGTTAAGTGGCTAATAGGATGCTGGTTCTTATGGTTTGTTCTAGGAATAGTAACACGTTTTGAAACATAGATATATATTCTTAGATTTTGGAGCTTAACTGATTGACCTGTATATAGGTGACAAGCTCTTGGCCAACAGTGTAATCCTAGTTAGTTCAGAACACGTAGGAAATAATTGATTCTAACTAATGATCACACAAATGTAACATTTTTTAACATGTAAATCATAAATACATAAATATTACGTTTTAATGGGTAACGATGTTCAAAATATACGACTTTCTATATATAAATTCCTGTCACAAACGTTTATTTGCACTTTACTGTGCATAAATTTGTAGATTTTTAGACGATCATTTTCTGTGCCGAAACGAGATTATATATTCTATATACGACAAAAGAAATCTGACTTCGTATTATTTCACAAATATCACAATGTCAGTGTGCAACTCTGTAATATAAAGGTTACTGTTCACCCACGTAGTTGGTAAAGTACTTGATTTTTTAGTTAATCAGTTATTATTATGTCTAAAGTAACTTTAGTGACCTTCATAGAGCTTTCTGTAAATTTCTACCTTATGTTCATATTGTGACAGCGAGACGTGTTTTGTCGATCACTTAACAAGAATGTATTCAAAAATTCACTTGGCACAATACAATTTAAAGAAAGGCTATTAAAAACCTTATACTTCAATCATTTGTATTATAGTAACATTTCCTTCATAGTTATCGTCTGAAACCATAAGTAATTTACATTAAATATTGTTTACGTTGTGCGTTATACTCAGAATTTATGTCAAACTTGTACGACAAAAAAATTCACTTTAGTATGTGAGTAAGACCATACAATTTTATAAACGAAAAGTATCAATTTACTGAATAAATATTGTATTTCTATATCGTATTTAATGTACTGGATTTATAAATTAGAACATGCTTTACAACTAAAAAGGTTTTCTGTTTACTTGACATTAATAATTAACTTTACTCTCACTAACTGGCTAACGAATTTCAAGTGTCACTTAAATTTGACCCGTAACGTTCATAAGAAGTAAGTTTACTATCACTAACTGGCTAACAAATTTCAGGTGTCACTTAAATTTGACCCGTAACGTTAATAAGAATTAAGTTTACTCTCACTAACTGGCTAACGAATTTCAGGTGTCACTTAAATTTGACCCGTAACGTTCATAAGACGAGTTTATTGATTCTTACACAATGTTTCGATTTTACCTTTCAGAAAACAATAATTAACTAAAACGATAGAGATTAAAGTCTTGCAACTTAAACGCCAACGAAACTGATATAAATTTACAGACGATATGATTAGGTCATAACACGATGCCTTGTCTTTCGCTCTACTCATCACTCATTTTGTAGAACAACCACAATGATTGTCAATTCTAGTTAATAACCAAATGTTCGAAAAAAAAAGTAAATGGATTAGATGGTCGATCCGTTTTCTAATAATTACATCCCTAACATGGAAGATAGTTAGTTTATAATCTTTACTTCCAAATTCTAAAATTTAGTTTTAATACTTATCCTATCACTTCCAACATCACCGTACTTCTGATGGAGTAGACCACGTGAGGTAATTATTCGCGTTTCTAACAGATTTAAACTATTAATGGTTTCACAAAATAACTATGTTAGCAAAGTTTCTGTAATGCGTAAACTTGAAGAATAAGGCATTTAATATGGTTTAAAAATTTTTCCTCTCACATGAATTTGGTAATACATTTTAGAAAAAAAAGTGATAATACTGGATTGCTTAGTTAATCAGTTATTATCTTGTTTAAATTGACTTTAATAGAACTTTTGTACACTTATTCTTTATATTCATATTACGACAACGAGATGTGTTTCGTTATTTGATAACTGATTAACTAAGCAATCCAGTATTATATAACTGATTAACTAAACAATCCATTATTTTATAACTGATTAACTAAACAATTCAGTAATTTACAACTGATTAACTAGACAATCCAGTATTATATAACTGATTAACTAAACAATCCAATATTTTATAAGTTATGTTATAATATAGATCTCAAACTGACATTCCTATCTTTGTTAACTAATGAAAAGGCAGATTTTTTGTCTTATATGAAATAACCTCGTGTTTCAACGTTTGTAATTTTGTACATATTAAAGTACAAACAAATCTGTGACAGGAGCTGATAAACATATTTATGATCTACCTTTTAAGTTACATGTGGGCAATCTTTAGTTGAAATAAACGATTTCTTATATGTTATAAACAAATTCAAATTACACTGTTCAGCAAGCTTGTTGCCTACGGATACAGGTTAACGTTTAGTCAGTGAATCAAAGGGCAGGTGCTCAGAAATTATCTGTTTTAAAATATGTCACTCTTCCTGGAATGAACCATAAAAAAAGAACGACCCATTAGCCATGTCACATGTTACAGCGATATCATAATTTGTGTATTAAGAAAATATTTTTTTTTTCCAAAATTGTTAGATTTTTTATTGGAACTGATCTGTGAAAAGTCGCGCATTTATATCATCGTTATCCATAAAATGCTAAGTATTACAAACTTATAATTATTTTTTATGGAAACGTTACACTTGGGCAATATTTAGATAGAACAAATAGTTTCCTATAGAGTTGAACAACAAGAGGGTAAAATCAAAAGTTTATAAAGCACTTGAGAACGAACTGACAAGATGAAAAAATGCAAGCTCAAACACTCATATTACCCAGTATAAAACATTTTCTTTTGGAAATATTGTATTGTCTTCAGTTAGTGCATGGGTTAAATATTTACAGTTTGAATACTTCAGGTTAATATGAGAAACAGTCCTTTTCATGACTATGTATTTTGTATGAATAGTTAAAAATTTTTGTAAAATCAGTTAAGTTAAAACAGTACTGTATTACCATTAGTCAGAGTGATGGATATAATATATATATATATATACTTTAAATGATATATGTTAATATGCAACGTATTTTTCAGGAATACGTAAACCACGAATTACGTTACACATTTAGTCAAACTGTAATACTTAAAATATTAATTTTAAGTATTAAAATGTTTTATTTATTATTGAACAAATAAATAATGAAATGAAATTATAAAATAGCTAGCTTGATCATAACGATAATGCAGTAGTAATATCGTGTCAGAAAATACTGTAATCTAGATCAAATTTGAATATGCCGTATTCACAGGCTGGAAGAGTCACACCATGAAGGCATTAGATAGAACTATCCGCCCCTAGTAGCAAATTGTGGTACTATTTACCCTTAGTAGCCTCCTGGTGGGTCGTCTGGAAGTCTGAGGTCTTATAATCCAAAGAATCTGTTTTTATATCCACGGTAGATGGATAACAGTTAGCCTATTGTGTAGCCTTACACTTAACAACAAACAAACAAACCACCACTAGTAGCAACGTTTTGAACTATTCGCCTCCTATTGGCAAATTTTGAAGTATCTGTCTCCGGTGGTACTATGTGAGACTATTCTTCTATAACGTCACGCGACTACTATAGCATACGATTATTTTACTTGTTTTCTTTCATTAAATATATCTTCCTGACTTTATTAAGTTTTCTGTAGGTTTAATCTCTCACATCATTAAACGAGCTTTGGACCTTCTTCTACAAGATACACAGTATGGTACAAAACAACAATTGAAACTTAATTAAATTTGAGTCAATCATGAGCTCATGAAATAAATTTAAAAGCTACACGTGATGAATAAAAAGGAAACAAATAAATGACTAACAAAACAGCTACAGGTGGCCAATAGATAAAAACATATCCTTACCTATTAATAGAAAAAAGAACGATTACATTAAAACTGAAAAGATAGAAACAAAAAGTAATGAAGATAGGCTATGACCACGCATCTTTCTTATAAGGTAATTATTTGTCTTTATATCTTAGTATATCTTATTTTTCTCAAAAACGATCCTAGTGGTATTTAAGGTAAAATATTTGATGCAAAAAATGTAATTCTGATCTTTGATTTTTGACTACATAAGAAACAATAAATATACTTTGTAACGTTTCTGAAATAATTGTCAATTTTTAAGTGTTAGTTGAGATTAAAAGGTCCTAATTTTTGTGTACAGGAACACATATTTTCGTGTTTTTGTCTAAATATATATATATATATATTTGCTAAAATATGGAAAAAACTCAAAATTAAATACATTCAAAACTCTGTTGTTATTCAGGTTAACCCAGAATAGGTAATAGTTTATCAAAACTGTATAAAATAAGAAAAACAAATCACAACAATCTTTTCATTATTTCTTTAATGCTTTAATGAAATAAGAAATAAATGTCACATGATATCGCATGCCAATTCTTACAATAATAAATACTTGCGAGTGGAACAAACAATGAATAAGAAAAATTTAAACTAAAATGAAAATAAACACAAATATACAAACAAAGAATAAATTCATTATATACAACGATATATTATGCTACACATTATATGAATAAACAACGTTGGATTAAAACTCAGAACAACAGGATCACAACTAAATTTCTTCCAAAGGAATCATCTTTTTTCTTGTTTTCGTATCTTTGGGCTTAATCGTTAGGTTTACTATTCGTATTCTGGCCATACGTGTTCAGCGGGTCTTGAATAAGGACGACAATGGTAGACAAAAGAATAAATAATCAATGCATCATTTGTCCTTACACATCGTGTTCCACTCGGACAGTAGCATCTATGGAAGAAAAATATGTCATTCAGAAAGTTACATAAACATAAAATAAAATAAATAACGTATTCAAATTCTGAATTTATAAAAAGTGGGTATGACTAACAAAAACACATATCAAAAACTGGATCTAGACTGTGTACTATGCATATTCTATAAGCCAAATTTATGATTATTTTGATTTTAATGTTTTAAATAGATTATCGTAAGATATTAGCCAGCTGCTATTCCTTGCCAAACAGTAAAACAACAAGAAGTATCTCTTCCAATTGGAAATATCCATTTGTTATCAATAGCAGAGTTTGAGAATATTCTGAATATTATTTCTGTTTAGAGCCCTTTTCATATGTTAACCTGTATTACAATATATCAACGAAAAGTAGTAATTTAGTTGTCATAAGATATCATAACTAAAATATCACACTATTCCGTGTTGTATTGTGTTTCTTTCTAGAAGTTTACAATAAGTGAGATTTGATAAATAATCGATTTATAATATATTATATTATTACGTTATTTCGTTATTACTTACCAAACGTTTTGTATAAGCTTTAAGAACTCAATATGCACATATATACTTAAAACATTGTATATACTGTGCGATGGTCAAGAGGGCTTTGTATAAAGAGGTAGCGGCCAAAGAATGGCTGTAGGAGTGCTTTCTGTTACCCGCTTTCAACACCCACTCTTAATGTTCTTTCACAGTGTTTCACGTAATTAATGAAAAGGCGGTCATTGACCGCAGAAGTGTCTTACGTGCTGAATTTGAAAGGTCACGGGTCAAAGTAGGAAGTTGATTTAACTCAAAAAACGGCTTAAGGTGGTTGTTGAAGTAGAAACTTCAATTGAGTTTATATGCATTATTGCAATAATGGCAGTCATTTTTTCATTGCATTCCTCCATAGAGAGTTCTAGCGCACTCTACCAGATATATAAAATACTTGTGTGCCCTCCCTCCATACTGTGTTTATATTGTGTTATAGAAAAATTAATAAAGTTTTTTTCGGTGTAAGAACGTGGCGCCATATATGAATGTAGTTAACCTACGTCAAGTATAGTAAATGACAAATAACAACAATAATCCATAGAGGGTGGTGAACCCTCAATAACACGTC